AGAGGAAGAGAGAGATAGGAACATCAATGATGAGAGAGATAATTGTTTGGCTGCCCCCTACATATTCCCTACTAGGAATCGAGCCTAAACTTGGGCATGTGCTCTGACTAGAATCGAACCATGACCTCCTTGTTCACAGGTCGACATTCAACCACTGACCCACAATAGCCAGGCTATTAGCCAATTATTAGCCTTTGGTTTTTATAGTTTTGTCAATTTATTAGGCACTTCTAAGCAATATATATAAATTTTGCCTGATTTTCAACTTCATATAAAAGAAAACGTAAATCCTGTTATGACTGGCTTCACTTGCTTAATGTTATGTATTTAAGATTCATCCATATATTATACTTCCATGTAATTACAGTTCACTCATTTTCACTGTTACATGGTATTTCATTGTATGATTACATCATATACACTGCACTTTTACATTCTATTGTTGATGGGACTATCATGAAAAATGCCGCTATAAATATTTTTTGTGCAATTATCTACAGTCTACAGGAGCATGTGTTTCTGTGGGATGTCACCTAGCAGTGGTTTTGCTAATCAGAGAGTAGGTGTGTTTTGAGACTTTTTGGATTCTGCCAATTTCTTAAAAGTGGTTTTACTGGTTTACTCTTTCACAGGCGGTTCTTGTTGTTCCACATACTTGACAGCATTTGATATGATCAATTTTTAGCCTTTGGAAAAATTATGGATGTGTAGCAATGGCTCATGTGGTTTTCACTGAGTTTCTCTGATTAGGGATGAGAGAACACCTTTTTTATTTTTTTAAGTTTTGTGCATTTGGAAACATGATTGACTTGGCAACGTGATGGAGAAGTTCATCCTTTCCCCACAGATGTGTGGTGCATCTTCATCACAAATTGGGTGTCCATATGTCCCGGTGGGGATCTCAATTCTGTTTAAGGAATCCATTTGTCTGTACCAGTATTGGTACACCCAGTCTTCATTACTATAGTGCGGTAATAATTTTGGACTTCTGGTGGACAAAACCTACATTTTTTGTTATTTTTTAAAGAGTCTTGATTTCCCCCCCCCTTTTGTGCTCCCCTATGGATATTTTAATTAACTTATGGAATTAAACAAAATTCTTTTTGGGGTTTTCAATTTGATTATATTGAATCTATAGTTCAATTTGGTTTCTGCTGAGATATTTAAAAATAATATATCCTTTCTACTAATACTATTTTAGTTATTAATTCTAATATAATTGCATTGTGACCAGAGAACATATTTTAAATTTTTAAATATTTCGAGATTTGATGAGACTCACTCACTTTGTGACTCAGTATACAATCAGTTTTGTAAATATTACACATATGTAATATGCAATTGATAGCTTTGTTGTCTAAACAGGACTGACTGGTTTTTAAATCATGTCATTCAAATCTTTTACATCATTATTAATCTTTTGTCTACTTATTTTACTAATTACTGAGAGATATTCTTCCAGAATGATTGTGAATTTGTTTTCCCATGTAGTTTATTTTGAAATTTGCTATATTTATTTAATGCCATATTATTAGATGCATAGCTATTTAGAGTCATTACAAATTCCTGGCAAATTAAACTTTTTATCATTATGAAGAAACCTTTCTTATTCCTAAAATGATATTTCCTTATGGTCTATATCAACTTTCTTTGGCTACAATTTGCATTGTTCATTTTGTACTAGATTTGGTTTGAATCAGGATTCAAACAAGGTGCACACATTGTATTTGGTTAAGTGGTTCACATTTCTCTTAATGGTTATAGAGCTATCCAAAATATTTATTACATAATAGGTGAGTTATAATAGTTTGAATTTTCAATAAATTGGTTAGTTTCATCTAAGATGTCAAATTTATGTATGTAAATTTGTTTGTTATATTTCCTTATTATACTTTTGATATTTGTAATGATAGCCTCTATTTCATTCCTGGCATTGCTTATTTTGTCTTCTCTTACGTTTTTTAAAATTTCTTTATTGATTTCAAAGAGGAAGGGAGAGGGAGAGAGAGAAATAATAATCATTGATTGGCTGCCTCCTGCATGCCCCTACTGATAATTGAGCCCAAAACCCGGGCATGTGCTCTGGGTCAGAATCGAACCTGGGACCCTTCAGTCCACAGGCAATGCTCTATCCACTGAGCCAAACCAGCTAGGGCTCTAAGTCAGTTTTTAGAGCTTCAATCAAAAGCACAAAGTATTTCACTAAAGTTTTCCTCCTTGATTGCCAAAGGACTTTGACCCAGGTTCACTCCAACTCTTTCTTTCTAAAAAGGAGAAAATAAAAGTTTAATAATTGTGCAAGGGGAATTCACATAGACGTAATAAATTCATGACATGACAATCTCCAAAGACAGCGCACCACCAACTCTTGAGAATGGCAAAACCAGAGTTTCATATCTCTGCTATCTTTACTCACAAATAATAGTCAAAAATCAGTCCTAATCTATCTCTTTAATCTCCTATGCTTTCCTTCTTCTCTCATGATAATTTTTAAAACTTTTTCATTATTTTTTCAGCTGTTTTCATCAGGGTATGATGGGTACATAATGCAGCATTAGCAAATGGTAACACATAGCATATTCTGTACCTTTCCCCCCACTTAGTATATTTGGGATATATCTCTTTACCAGCACATTCTGTTTTATTGCTGTATAAGACTTAGTTTATGAAAGTTCCTTATATTCTAGACACCTGGTCCTTTTCAAATTTTTGCTGTTATAAACAATGCCACTATGAATAAACTCATCATATGGTGTTATTTGTCCAAGTAGTTCTATAGGTTAGACTCCAAGTAATTGTATGTATCAAATAGTAAATACAAAGTAAATTATTTGATATTGCCAAAAGTCCCCATCTTATTTGCCCAAAAAGAATGAAAAATTTAGCCCTAACTGGTTTGGCTTAGTGGATAGAGTGTCAGCCTGCGGACTCAAGGGTCCCCGGTTTGATTCCGGTTAGGGGCATGTGCCTTGGTTGCGGGCACATCCCCAATGGGGAGTGTGCAGGAGGCAGCTGATCAATGTCTCTTTCTCATCGATGTTTCTAACTCTCTATCTCCCTTCCTTTCTATAAAAGATCAATAACATATATTTTTAAAGAAGAATGAACAAATTAACCTGTTGCCTCATAGCTTCAACAGCCTATGTTGTTTGGTTTGGATTTTTGTCTTAATTGAATAGATGAGAAATATAACCCATTCAAGTAGAAGCATTTTATTACATTGACTTTCCTATCACTACCTGTAATTGGTTTCCTCTTATGACAATTGGTTTCCTCTTATTTTTCTGGTTTTTCATTCTCAATCTCCTCCTCCTCTACCTATTATCTAAATAATAATTTTTTTGTAGTTATTCTTGGATCCTCTTCTTTTCCCCCTTGTCATAATCTTCTTAAATTATTTTGCCCGTTCCTGTGGCTCCAATGCCATATGTAATTATAATGAATTTCAAATTTACTTTTCTGGTCTATACCTCTCTTCTGAACTCCAAATACCAATTTGATATCTCCATGTTGATGCTCTCAAGCATCCCAAAATTCAATATAGCACTAACTTTTGGATCACCGTTCTCCTTCCCCAATCACTAAAATATAATTCAGACTTCCTAAAGCATAGTCAGTATCATCATCTCCCAATTGCTAAAACCAGAAATCAGTATCCAATTAGTTTTCTAATCCTATCTACATAAAAATATACATATTTCCATTATTCAGGATGAGTAAGTTCTGGAGAGCTATTGCACAACACCCTCTTGCCTCTACCTTTACCTCTCTCCGTCATGGCCTGTTATAAAGTGAACTTCCCATTTCACCTCTTAGTACCCCTGCCTCCATCCCAGGTTTTCACAAAGGAGCGAGCATGAGCTTTTTAAAATGTAAGTTGCATCATGTTACTCACCGTCAATGGACTCTAATTTTCCTTGGCACAAAAACAAAAATCATTGACATGATGGTAAGGGACTACATGACGAGACTGCACCTACAATCTCTAACCTCACCTCCCGCCATACATTCTGCTCCAGAGGCACCATCCTCCTTAAGTTCCTCAAAATCTCCATCCTTCCTTCTACACAGGAAATCAATCAATATCTCTCTCGATCTCTCTCTGTGTGTCCCCCAAGAGACAAGTAGCTCCATGAGGGCAAGGACATCGGTCTCTTTTTCACATTCTATTCAGAAGTGCCCAGAACTGTGCCAATTTGTACTTGTAAAGACTCATGTCGCCAAGAGTTATTAAGAGCCTGAGCTAAAAGTTGGATGTAAGAATTAGACATAGGAAACCTTAAAAATGAATAATGAATAGGATTTGATGAGTTATTTGACTTCAGATTAAGACACAGAGATATCAGATATGACTAACGGCCTCCCCATGGAAAGCTAAGAAAAAAAAGAAGAAGAAAAAAAAAACCATTAGAAAGTCACCAACAGGTGTGAGGCAGCAGTGGCAGATTCACTTGCCAAGGCAATGTACAAAGTTTCAGGGCCAGGGCGGATCATTAGAGAGAGAACATTGACTGGGGAAGTTGGAAGTATGGAATGGAAGCTCAGCAAGCCATCAGCTCTCAGTCAAACACTGAAGAGGTAGGAATGAATGAATTCCCTAAGGTGTAGATAGTAAAAAAAAAAAAAAAAAAAAAAAAAAGTGGGTGATAATGACAGAATTTTAGGGAATGCCTCAGTTACACAGTGCAGGGAAAATAGGAAGCAAACAGCTGAGCAAAGAACGACCAGAAGGGTGGGGGGAAAGGGGTAATGTAGTGTTAGAGAAGGCAAGCAAAGGTTTTTTTGAAGAGATCACCCAGTGGAGGGAAGTCAAAAATACCTTAGAGAAATAAAAGCACGCTGCAGGGGTGGTTGGATGGGCAACTTGAAACTTGGGGGCAGGGGTGCATTCGGTTTTAGAGTCAGAATGCTTATGTCCTGGGAAATGGGGATTCATATTTTCGTTTGTACAAGAGGATGGTACACAATCCTATATTAAACCCTTAAATGTCCTCTCACAGCCCTGAAGCCGGTGGACCTACACGCCACGTACCAGACGGGGCCCCTGATGGCCGTGGAGACCACGCGGAACATCGTGCTGCACTGGCGGGCCCACGGCTGGCCCCTGCGCTCCCTCCGCACGCCCGTGGCCTCCCTGCACTCCGTGGTCCAGGAGCTGGGGGGCCTGGCCGGGGGCCCCCACACCGTGGTGGTGCTGGGGCTGGGCGCGCACTTCACCACCTTCCCTCCGTCCATCTTTGTGCAGCGACTGGCAGGGATCCGGGCGGCCGTGGCTGCGCTGCTGGCCCGCGAGCCCCACACGCTCGTGGTCATCAAACTGGCCAACACGGGCTACAAGTCCGTGTATGGCAGTGACTGGTTCACCCTGCAGGTGAACCGGCTCCTGCGAGCCGCCTTCGCCGACCTCCGGGTGGCCTTTGTGGATGCCTGGGAAATGACCTCCAGCCTGGCCCTGCCCGACAGCATCCACCCCGTGAGGCTCATAGTCCAAAACGAGGTGCACTTCCTCCTCTCCTTCATCTGTCCCACCTGAGCGCCTCCGTGGATCCTGGGCGGTTGTGGATGAAAGCCATAGGGATGGTGAAGAGGGTCAGAGCGGCAATGGGAGTCCGAACTCACAATGATCCGGAGAAGTGTGGCTACCCCGATGTCTGATTGCTGTTAGCCCTACGAGACAATCTTTTTGTACATTAATGAAAGATTTTACATAAATGAAATATTTTACATACCTTCTTTTAAGTTCACTTTGGGGGAAATTTTTACTGGTGTGATTGAAGATTACCCAGTTGTAAGTAATGATGCAGAAAATCTCTCATGCACTTACTCAGTTTCTCCCAATGCTAACATCTTACAAAACTATACACCGAATGGCCAGATTATTATGATCTCTGAACGCATAATAATCATCTGGCCACTCAGTATATTTTAGAGGCCTGGTGCATGAATTCGTGCATGGGTGGGGTCCGGCCAGCCTGGCCAGAGGGAGGGGATATGGACAGTTGGCCGACCTGCCTGCTGGTCGAACTCCTGGTTGAGAAGACAATTTGAATATTAGCCTTTTATTCTATAGAATATACACTGAGTGGCCAGATTACTATGCATTCAGAGATCATAATAATCTGGCCACTCGGTGTATAGTGCTGCACGATATCCTGCCCATTGATACAATCCACCAATCTTACAGACGTGTCCCTAGTTTTACGGTACTCATTTGCATGTTTTTAGTTTTATGAAAGTTTGTCATTTGTGTGGGTTTGTGTCTAATTCCTTAGCATCTGTTTTGTAGCCTTGCAAAGGAGGTAAGACAAGGTCAAGGGTTTATACAAAGTGGCAAATCTATCGATAATAGGAGAGCCCTAAATAAACTAGAATCTCAACAGACTCTACCCTCAGTCTGAAGAGAATACAAAAATAGGACCTCACACCCTTTCACTTCTCAATCCACTTTTCCTTAAATCAACCAAAGGTAAACTATTCTCACCAAGGTAAATAAGAGCCTCTTTGAGGTAAATCCCATGAGCAATTTTCAATCCTTACCTTTTGATTTTTTTTCTCCTGCATAATGGGCCATTCCTTCCTTGCTGAAACCATCTCTTCTCTTGGCTTCATAATATTCAGATCCTTCAATTCAGATAACTTGAAAAATGAAGTCCCCTGGAATCCATTTTGTTGGTGAAAGTGGTCAAAGAAGCACCTAGTTTAAAAAAATAATAAAAATATATATGTTTCTTTTTTTTAAATTAATTTCAGAGAGGAAGGGAGAGGGAAAGAGAGATGGAAACATCAATGATAAGAGAGAATCATTGAAAGGCTGCCTTCTGCACACCCCATACTGGGGATCAATCCTGAAACCTGGGCATATGCCCTTGACTGGAATCAACCTGGACACTTCAGTCCGCAGGCCAACGCTCTATCCACTGAGCCAACTGGCTAGGATGGTACCTCGTTTTCAATGGTGGTTCCAAGAGCAGGCTCCTGGCATAGAAATGGCATCCTTGGTACAGTGTAAACCATTGAGGGATTTCTCCTGCTGCTCAGCCAGACATCAGTGGTGCTGATGGCATAAAGTACAGTTCCTGGAAGCTTAGCTTCTCCAGTCTCCCAGCAGTATGCAGGCTACTCAGGATCCTTTTATTAATGCCCCTTACCCTTTAATCAGCTAGAATTGGCTTCCATTTCTTGAAAGAACTTGGATTAATCAGAGTATGTAATTATATGCCTGTTAATCACAGGTTCACATGTTAGATGCTATAATAGAAATGAGCTGTGAGAATGTACACGACAGACATGTAACTCAGCCTTTGTGGTCTAGAGAAGAATTCCACAAAGATATCTGAGTTGAGTTTGAGAAGACGATTGTGGGTTACCTAGGCACAGAGTCTCAGAAGAGCACTCCAGGCTGAGAAACAGTGATGCTCAAAACTACACAATATTTTCAAGTTGGGAATGGGCCAAGACAAGAGATCAGATAGCAGAGTTGACCAAGAAGCTCCCTGAGGACTTTATATACCATGCTCAAAATTGTTTCCTGAACTAGAGTCCAGGCCTCTCAATGTATACTCTGAGGATAAGGCAGATGCCTGAAACCACCTGGATATGGTTTTAGGTGAGTACTTCTTTTGAATTTGGCACCCAGCCTTGCCTGAACACTTAGGGAAGAGTTAGCTGAGAGTGACCATAGCCTGTCATGGAACCCGCTGACCTGAAAGAAGCCAGCATGCTGGACCCTCACCTTGCAGTCTCCTGAGCCTGACTCCCTTCCCTTAGCCCTTGCAACTCTGATCCTACTCAGCCAAACTCCCGTTCCTCTCAGGGACCTTTTTATCTCAAGTTCTCCCCGAAACAACTCAACTCCCTTCCCTGTGTCTTCTATGGTGAGTTAACAGGGAGTTGACAAAGTCTTGTCTCACTATACTGGGAAAGAAAACATTTTGTATCCTTTAGCTTTGACCTTGCTGCTAGAAAACTTAAGGCTAAATTTACTGCTCACATGTAAGTGGGAAGAGGAAGTTATTATTCTTTGTCTGGGGGTTTGGACCGAACTGTTCTACAATGATTAAGCTCCTCTTGCCTACAGCCCTATTCCCACATTTCTTCTTTGCTGTTGTGTTCTCTAAGTTTATTCTGCGAAGAAGTGTGGTTTTCTCTTTCTTACTGCAGCTGTCCTTTTCCCACATTTGATCTTTTTCTGGGCACTTGAGTGGCCACATCATCCATGTGTTTGCAGGTGCCATCAGCAGGGTGTTACCCTGTGAATTGCTATGAAGAGAAGAATCAAGACTTTACAGAGGAATGAGAGAAAGAACAGGAAGTGTTGAGAAGTATCCTGCAATGAGGTAAGAGGGCTTAGTTTTCAGAAAGAAAATGAGAGCAAGAAAAGGGGACAAAAGGGTGGATGCACGTCTAGGAAATAGGGCGGTTAGTGTAAATATCAGGCAACCAGTATTGATTAAAGTCACAGTGTGGCTCTCGCCAGCTTGGCTCAGTGGATAAGGTGTCAACCTATGGACTGAAGAGTAGCAGGTTCAATTCTGGTCAAGGGCATGTGCCTGGGTTGCCTGCAGGAGGCAGGCAATCAATGATTCTCTCTCATCATTGATGTTCTCTCTTCCTCTCCTTTCTTCTCTGAATTCAATATAATATCTTTAAAAAAAAAAAAAGAAAAGAAAAAAGAAAGAAAGAAAAGAAGGAAGAAAAAGAATATCTTACTCCCACGTAAAAAAACAACAAAACTTTAAGAATAAAATAAAAATAAGGTCACAATCTGGACAAACTACTGTTCTTAATGTTGTGTGAAATACAAATAAGTGCACAAGGGATGGGGTCTGGCTTTGAGAAAGAGATGTGTGCAGGGCTGAACAAATAGAATGCTGAGTATGAGACAGCATCTGAGTGGTCAGGAAGGTAGGAGACTCGGGCAGTTATAAAAAAAAAAAAACAATATTGATAGGACTTCAAGGAGAAGAAAGTGGTCAACAGTTTAAATACTGCTGCAAATTTGAGCAATAAAATCATGCTGTATGATCTTTTTATTTTTGCTGGATGTGATTTGCTAATATTTTGTTGAGGATTTTAGCATCTATGTTCATCAGGGATATTGGCCTATAATTTTCTTTCTTTATAGAGTATCTGTTTTTGGCATTAGGAAAATGTTGGCCTTGTAAAAAGAGCTTGGAAATCTTCCTTCCTCTTGATTATTTTGGAATAGTTTGAGGAGGCTCTATTTTTAATCTTATGTTTACTTACCCCTGTTTCCTTCAGTTTATCAATATCTGTATATTCACTCCTGATCAATACAACTACTATCACATCCCTTAATCTTACCCCATGCACCACCTCCATTATGTTGATACTGTCCAGAAGTTAGTTATGAGTTATATGAATACACATATTTTCCTTCTCTAATCTTTGTTTTTCCTCATTTGTATTGAGATACAATTTATATTTAGTCAAATTCATAGATCTTAAGTATATAATTAATTTGGACAAATGTAAATATCCATATAATCATCACTCAAGATAAAGAACATTACATGACACTATAAATCCTCAGTAGAGGGTATGCTGGAGGCAGCTAATCAATGATTCTCTCTCATCATTGATGTTTCTCTCCCTTCCTCTCTGAAATTATTAAAAATATATTTACAAAAACAAAACACACCAAAAACCAAATTAAAAAATATTCATTACTAGAAGCCAGTGGAACAATGCTTGCAAAGCTGACAAACTAAAAAAGTTAAGAATTTTACACTTAGCTAAAATATTATCAACTACAAAGGCAACAGATAAACATTTCAAATCTATACTAATAACGGGGTAGTATGCTAATTAGACCAGATGTCTTCTGGATGACCTTCCGGACATTCTTCCTGAAAAAGCCAGGCCGGGCAAAGCCACCTGCCCGCGGTCCCAGGCGCCAGCACCTGTGGCCTGGGAGATGGAGAAACATCACCTGCCCTGTGGTCATGAGCGCCAATGCCTGTGACCCAGGAGACGGAGAAAAGCTGCCCACCCTGTAGTCCCAGATGCCTGCGGCTGGCCCAGGTGAAGCCAGCCCAGTGGATAGAGCATCGGCCCAAGAAGTAAAGGATCCCATGTTTGATTCCTGACAAGAACATATGCCAGGTCCCAGGCCTGTGGCCGGCCAGAGGAGAGAATCCTGAGTCAAGGGTGTGGGGCCAAGGCAGAGGCAGTTAGGGGCAACAGGCAGGCAGGCAGAGGTGTTAGGGATGATCAGGCAGGCAAGCAGGTGAGCAGGTAGGAGCCAGCAGTCCTGAATTGCTAGAGGCATATCCAATTGTCAGTTTAGGCCCAAACCCCTATGGACATGCCCTGAGGGGTCCTGGATTGGAGAGGGTGCAGGCCTGGCTGAGGGCCCCCACCTCTCTGTGCATGAATTTCATGCACCACGCCTTTAGTATGTAATAATTCAGGAAATATAGATGTTCTAAAAGAATGACAAAAGTCAAACATCACTCAAACAAAATATTACTGAAATGGCCCAGCAATTTCACTTTTGGATATTTATCCAAA